GCATGCAGTGAAGGAAGGAAAAAGCTATAAAGGGACAGCAAGAACACCTAGATGGGAATAAGGTGAGCTGAGTCATTAATCAGCCTCAGTCACTGAGCATGAAGGGCAGGAAGACTGGAAGCACTCCGACACCAGCGACGGCCCCAGTGCACACATTCACAGCCACACAAACACTTCACTGTGTGTCCCCTGCAGCAGACACGCTATACAAATGCCGAGGCGTGGATATATGCATACAGTTGAACCCGAGGTACAGTTAGCTTGTTAACTACTACCTGAAGCTTCCAACTGCTGCCCTGGGATAAATCTGTAAGCTGTATCTGCTGGTCTAGGATCAGCTTCTCCAAACAAAAGTTAAATCTTATCTGAAATTGACCTTTTTCACATTTCCGGGTTTCTCAGCAGCAGAAGTAGTCATAGTTGGGTAAACTTCCATAGCAGTGAATGGGAGACTACCACAAATATATTTTTGCATTCCCATTTCCTCAAATAGCAAAAGAAAAACTCCATGACAGTGTTTTCATGACTTTCAAAAAAAGGAAAAAGAATAGAGCGAGATTGATAACGCCAGTCAGTAGAGAGAACGATGTCAAATTTACTATCACTCCCACAGACGCTGTATTAGAAACACCCTTTCATTAGCGTTAACTAGTTTTTTTTTGTAATTTGATGCAAAGGTAATATAATACAAAGGATAGTGTTATAAATGTACATGCATTTAAAAAAAAAATGAAAACACAAAAAACTTCATCACAGTCTTGTGAAGAGTCCATGGTTGTACATTTTTGTTTATATATTTTACAGTGCAATTTATTGAATAAGATTCAAAATATAATTATGGTAGCATGTTTAAAACACACAAACATACTCACACACACACACACACACACACACACGCACACACGCACACACGCACACGCACACGCACACGCACACGCCTACTCTTAAGTTGATTAAAAATAACAAAAATATAGTGTTCACAGTTTAACCCTGCAGTCAGTTCACCTTCCACCTAATTTGATGAATTAAATTGGGGCTGTGAGGGCTGAAAGGCCAGTGCATTGAATGATTTACTGTTGTGAACCTGGGCGTTGATTTAAAAACATCCACTGGAAATTAGTGCAAAAACATTTCACTGCCTGAACGATGGACACCGAAGCACACAGCAGTACAACAACAGCAGCACTTCCACCTCTTACGTCAATGTTTTCATTTGTGTCTTATGAAATACACCATCAACTCTGACTAAAGTCTCTATATATCAAGGGTTTGATGCAATCTGGCTCAGAGTCCTGTCAGGCTCACATCCAGGACAATAATGCAAGGAACAACCAAATAACAGTGTCTTCAAATAATGGATTACAGACCACCATGCCAGGGTCGGCAACACCAACATCCAGCTCGTCTGAGATGATGTAAAGCAGATAGTCTTGAATGGTAAATGTTCTTTATGCAAGCACTGGATGCTACTGTATGTGTACTGTCCTCTACAGTCTGAACAGGGCTTCTTTTATTACGTTCAGTTCAGACTGAAGCAAAAAATAACACTTTTTTTTGCTGTGGCGCTGTAGATTCAAAAGCAGTACAGGAAATATGGCAAATATTTATTACAGTATTCTGGTGAGAAATTATAGATGTTCAACAACTGTTATCCATCAGGAAAGTCATAGTATAATTTTTATAAACGGAACCAGTTCTGAATAAGAATAAGAGCTGGTTCAAGGGAAAGGCAGTCCCTGGACCTGTTTGAAGGACATTTGTAGCTGTCAGTGGGGAGGTTAGTGAGCTAACTCTGTCTGAACTGGTTTGTGCTTCTGTGTGGCAGTTCCCAGAGAGAAAGATGAATAATAAATAAGCTTGGGATAGAGAGAGAGAGAGAGAGAAGGAAACACCGAAAGAGAGATTCCTACTGAGTCTGTATACGTCTTCAGGGCTCACAGTAACAGCTAAACAAATGTTTTGTAAGTGTCTGCTGAAGCTCAAACCTGTTTATGCCTGTTTATTAAACCTACAATGGCTCTGTTCCAAAACCTCTATGCTTACTCACAACATAGGCAGCTGTCTTCTAAGGCAGCATCTTAACTGGTATCTTATATCAGGGTTCCTACACATTTTCCATTTTCCGAATATTCGTCGAATAGAAAAAACAAAATCCACATTCGAATGCAAAAACGTTGCATTCGAATTTAAGGTCTGCAACACGCACACGCCTACTCTTAAGTTGATTAAAAATAACAAAAATATAGTGTTCACAGTTTAACCCTGCAGTCAGTTCACCTTCCACCTAATTTGATGAATTAAATTGGGGCTGTGAGGGCTGAAAGGCCAGTGCATTGAATGATTTACTGTTGTGAACCTGGGCGTTGATTTAAAAACATCCACTGGAAATTAGTGCAAAAACATTTCACTGCCTGAACGATGGACACCGAAGCACACAGCAGTACAACAACAGCAGCACTTCCACCTCTTACGTCAATGTTTTCATTTGTGTCTTATGAAATACACCATCAACTCTGACTAAAGTCTCTATATATCAAGGGTTTGATGCAATCTGGCTCAGAGTCCTGTCAGGCTCACATCCAGGACAATAATGCAAGGAACAACCAAATAACAGTGTCTTCAAATAATGGATTACAGACCACCATGCCAGGGTCGGCAACACCAACATCCAGCTCGTCTGAGATGATGTAAAGCAGATAGTCTTGAATGGTAAATGTTCTTTATGCAAGCACTGGATGCTACTGTATGTGTACTGTCCTCTACAGTCTGAACAGGGCTTCTTTTATTACGTTCAGTTCAGACTGAAGCAAAAAATAACACTTTTTTTTGCTGTGGCGCTGTAGATTCAAAAGCAGTACAGGAAATATGGCAAATATTTATTACAGTATTCTGGTGAGAAATTATAGATGTTCAACAACTGTTATCCATCAGGAAAGTCATAGTATAATTTTTATAAACGGAACCAGTTCTGAATAAGAATAAGAGCTGGTTCAAGGGAAAGGCAGTCCCTGGACCTGTTTGAAGGACATTTGTAGCTGTCAGTGGGGAGGTTAGTGAGCTAACTCTGTCTGAACTGGTTTGTGCTTCTGTGTGGCAGTTCCCAGAGAGAAAGATGAATAATAAATAAGCTTGGGATAGAGAGAGAGAGAGAGAGAAGGAAACACCGAAAGAGAGATTCCTACTGAGTCTGTATACGTCTTCAGGGCTCACAGTAACAGCTAAACAAATGTTTTGTAAGTGTCTGCTGAAGCTCAAACCTGTTTATGCCTGTTTATTAAACCTACAATGGCTCTGTTCCAAAACCTCTATGCTTACTCACAACATAGGCAGCTGTCTTCTAAGGCAGCATCTTAACTGGTATCTTATATCAGGGTTCCTACACATTTTCCATTTTCCGAATATTCGTCGAATAGAAAAAACAAAATCCACATTCGAATGCAAAAACGTTGCATTCGAATTTAAGGTCTGCATCAGCCGTCAGGCAGCCTTAGTTATCAGTGGCGCACGAGATGCGATGACGATGTAAGTCATTGCATTTGAATGCTTTTGTTAGCCTATCCAGTTGAACCCCCTTGTTCATTCATATATTGCGGAAAACGAGAGCATCAGTGTGGAGAAGATGTTGTTTACGTCAAAACTGAAACCAAGCCTTTCACACAGAACGCATATTTATCACATTTTCTAGCGTGGCATCTATCAGCGTTGCACTCGCGTCTCGCAGAGAGCGGCATGTTTAGAAAGCCATGTAAAATTAATGCAAGTTCAACTTTTAAAAAACATGTCTAAAGACGTTATGGCGGTTTTTCCCCATCCCACTGTATCTCATGTTTTTAAATGAAGAAAGTAGCCTACTCTTTGTGATTGGTTTTCGGTCCTTTGTATTAAACTATAGATACATGCATGGTGCGTTTTTTTTTCTAATTGTTTAAGCAACTTTATTAATTAAATATGGTTTATAAACATTATTTTAAACATTATGCACTTTTTTTCAAAGATAGTTGTGTTATTTTATTACGCTTTGAAGAAACGTGCATAATATTTTGCTCGATGCGCCCTCTTGTGGCCTCAGGAGAGAAGCCAAAAGCTTTTTTCCCCCTAACTGAAATTATACCTTTTAAATTTGAATATAATTCGAATTTTGATAATATTTAAGCAGAAATTCGAATTTAGTTTTTCAGTCATTTTGACAGCCCTACCTCTCAGTAGATTTTCAGACCATATTTAACATAAATGGTTCATAGAGCATTATTTTCAGCAGGGCCATAGCTGGGGTTTGCGGGGCCCCGGTGCAGGTTGTACCCGTGGGCCCTGTTTGAAATTGTGTAAATAGCACAAATAAACAAATATACAAATTAAACAATGTTTAAGATTTTTCAAATTTGTAGGTGTCTAGGAACAGAAACTGAATAATCAAATGTAAATAGCATTGCATAGTCTTCACTGTATAAATTAAATATAGATTAATTCTTGTTACATAAAACTACAAAGTAATTTAGTCAAGAGCAGTGAGGTATGTTCTCTTTTATTTTCTAGAATTAACATTTAAGTTCTGTTCGAGGTCATCAAGTAAAAAAAAATCCGTGACAGACCACACCGGTGTGAGTAAATTAGGCGCGGTCACTTTAAGAGACAATACATCCAATATAATGGTACACATTCGAATTCTTTCTCAACTGTTTACTTTCACTTAAGACATAACCGACCATTTTTTCGAGGATACTCGCAAAGACATGATTTCTGAAGCATCATGTGACACTGAAGACTGGAGGAATGATGCTGAAAATTCAGCTTTGATCGCAGAAATAAATTACAGTTGAACAGATATCCACATAGAAAAAAGCTATTTTAATTTGTAAAAATATTTCACATTTTTTACTGTATTTTTAATCAAATAAATCCAGCTTTGGTGAGCAGTAGAGACTTCTAAAACATTGAAAACATCGTAATTATTCCAAACGTTTGACCGGAAGCGTCTGTGTAAGAGAACGAAACACACTCACCTCTCTGAGCATGGGGTCAGATATGGAGCTGAGGTTGACTGCTCCTTCATAAGTCAGGTAGTAGAAGACATTGAGAGCTCTGACGGCCTCAGGTCCCTGCTGCTTGTATCCGAATATCAGATCGATCCACTGATGCAGCTGACAGGACACAAACTCACTCTCCAGAGCCTATAAAACACACGTGATTCAGACTCAGTGACACAACAAGACCAAGAAAACACACCACTCCCAAAAAAAGCTGCATCAAGATGTGGCTAAACAAGCTCAATTGAAGGTAGTTAGTGAATAAGACACAGCGAAATACCATGTGAATTCACCCCAGATTGTGATAGATTTGTTATTTTTTCACATGCCCAACAACTCATGGAGTGCTCCTCAGAGAACGTAACCAAGTAGCATGGGTAACGGGATCTGTCAAAATGTGCTTTCAACAGTCACAAATGACATAATACACACAAATGACAAGCATATGCTTCTAGGACAGAACCGCTGGAGCAACGCAGATCGTCTTACATGAGCAGGACGAGATATCTTTGCTCCTTTGTTTAGTCTCATCTCTACATGCTGCAGGGCGTCTGAGAGTGTTGTTGTTTTCGCAGCTATGATTGTTCTTCGACTGTCATAATAACATTGAAACGCAAGCTGTTTCTCTCTTCATTAGCCGCCAAAGGAGGGCCTCCGTTTATGACTGCTCATAAAAAACAGCAATTGTGTTCATTTGCTCAAAGGTGTGTGGGCACAAAGGCCTCTAAACGAGTCCAAATGAGTATGAGAAGAGCCTTGATTGTCATTGCTGCCTTGTGTCACATTAATTTCGAGACAAACATTAGGCCCTGCATTTAAACGGCAATTTATATAATTTAAACGCTTATCGGAAGGGTCTTAGCATCACTCATTTAAATGTGAGTTCGCTGACAGCTAATTCCGCTTAATTTGCACTCCAAGCTCTCTTAATTAGAACTTTAAATCAGAGAGACGCCGTGAAATGTGGCATTTGCACACAGGTTTGACCGCAAACTAGTTCGCTTTTGGTGCAGTGATAACTTTATGAGTGATATTACGAGAGTAACAGATGCTGGCAAAAATTTCAGAGATAAAACCCAAGCGTTGCATGGTTACATATTAATAAAATATCTCTTGAAATTGATTGTTCTGTTTTTTTTACACAGTGTACACGCTGTGGAAATTCACACAACGGTGAGAAATAATTGCTTAGTTTATAATAAGCATGATACTCATTACTGCTTACAAAAATGAAAAAGCAATCAAACAAAATATCTAGTTTAAATACCATTTGTTAAAATATTTAAAAAGCATGTAATATAATATTTAATCAAACCATTTCATAAAGGGTAGAATGTTTTTCTTTCATTGTTTTATTAGCAACACGTAGCATTTATTACAAGCACTTGCATAAAACATGCAGATTTATACCACTTAATTTATTTGTCTACAACAATTTTATTAAAAAGAACATGTTCCTCCAAGTTTATTATGTGGATGGATTGACCCCGTATTGTTCCATGACTTGTCTGTTTCCAAACTTAATGCAGAGGCTGATGGGCATTTAATGTGGGCCACCAACTCTCCAGAGGACTGCCTTTATGTTAATCAAGGAGCTGTGAAATCAGGAATGAGATGGGAACCCTGCTCAGGGAGGCCTGACCTCATCAGAGATGCAGAGAGCGTTTGGTAGGGTGTCACTCTGAACCCATGCTCTTCCATCAAAAGACGAGGGGGAGATGTGTACCTACAACATTAGATTCCTGTTTAAAAATGACTACAGCATATATCCTAACCCAGAGGGCATGTGTGTATACATACAAAGAAACGTAAGTGCTTTCACAGTAAAATGTCAGGTTAAGATGTTTGATATGAGAGACTTTCATCTGTCTTCATCTTTAAAGACTATCTCTCATAAATGTGACATCTCTTACAGAAAACAAAACAAAAACAGAATATTTAAAAAAAAACTGATTGACCAGTTTACAAAACAAGCACACACACACACACACACACACAAATAAATAAAAAAATTAACTTGCATCTGTCTACATCTTTAAAGACTATCGCTCAGAAATGTGATGTCTCTTACAAAAAAACAAAACAGATTATTAAAAAAAAACAAGCAAAAATAAATAAATAAATAAAAGTAAAAAATTAAAAAATGTACTTGCATCTGTCTAAATCTTTAAAGACTATCTCTCATAAATGTGACGTCTCTTACAAAAAACAAACAAAACAAAACAAAAAACATCTTTTTTTCAACTGATTGACCAGTTTACAAAAAACAAAAAACAAAAACATTTGAAAGATTTCTTGAGGGTGGGGAAAAAGAAAATCAATAAACGCGTGAAAATTCTGTCATTATTTACTAATTCGGATGTCGTTCCAAATATGCATGCATCTTTTTGTAGAATACACAAGTAGAAATATTTTTTATTCAGTACTTGCCATATAATGACAAAGAAAACCAAGCAGCATCATAAAACTCAAAAAATTATATTTGGAGGATATGAATATAATCAGTGGATGACAATTTTTTACTACTGATCATAAAATGCTATTTTATGCCTCCTGATTATTTGGAATATAGTAACGCATAAGCCTTTTATTGTATTTTTATGGTCATTTTATATTGGCTTGGGATCTTGACAGTCATGGTCACTATGAATTACTGCTGTGTGATTCTTTGAAAATATTTCTACATTTGTGTTCCACAGAAAAATATCAGCATATGGGTCTGGAATGACATGAGAGTGCGCAAATAATAAAAATCATCATTTTTTGGGTGAACTATTCCTTTAAATTCATGTATATGTACAAAAGATGCCCAGGAGTGTGTAAGATGCAGCTCATTAAGAGAGAGTGTTATTGATGTGCCAATTAGTAGAGGCAGTATGTCCCATAAAATCCACAGGGAATCATCAGCATTATGGAAATATGTGTATGTATGTTTGTGTGTTTGTGTTTGTGTGTGTGTGTGTGTGTGTAAGAGCGGTGCTGGCGATCGTGGCATGAGGTTTCACAGCTGCTGGATCAAAAAATGTATTTCATTTTATTTCAGCACTGCTTTTGTACAACAGAAAAAAAACTATAAATGCAACAAAGAATAACACTGAGCATGGCTGAAAACAAAATGCATCTAGGAAATAAATAAGGGGAATATTCTAAATTTCATGAAAACAAATGACACCGGAAGCCAGCAGTATTTGGTGAAACTGAATAATTGTCAATGTGACGAGCATACTTGAGTAATGGTAGCGTCCAGCAATAGCTGCCAGACGTTTAAAGTCTGGGTCTGATCTGTTCCGCTCTCTAGAGGAACCAAATTACAGCCAAGACTCAAGTGGGGGAGTATCTGAAAATTATGGAAAATTATGAAAACCTACTTAATACTTCAGTTTAATGCGCAAACTGACGAGCTCATCGAGACATAAAGCAGCATCGAAGGCTTTGTTATAACAGAGATCTTTTAATTTTTTCCTATTTTCATTCCCATCACTAGAGTACCGTAAGACGCTAATGATGCTTTCAAACATGTCTTTTTACGAGATGGATCGCTCTGAGCTCTTTATGACTTTCATTGACCATTTCCCTGTCTTTAGCAGCCCTTTAAAAGCATTTTAAGGATTTAGAGGTAACCTGTCGGTGGCCATGTTAAAATGTCACATAACAAATCAATTGGGCTGTTTTGCATGAGAATACAGGGCTGTCGAGGGTGAAGGAGTGAGACGGTGAGCACACGAGCGGATGGGTTTATTCGATCGGCAGCTGGATTGTATGGTATTGATTAGGAGAGCTCGTGGTGGCAATAATCACGCATGTGGACTGTGTGATGAGAGCCAATAAAAAATGAACCCATTCAGGGCTAAGACACAGCATGTGAATTCACACAGGACTGCTACTACCTGTGGTTATTCCTTCAGGCCATTTTACAGAAGGTAAAAGACACTGTAATCTTCACCAGCAATGGAAAGTGCAGTCTAGGAAAATAACTGACTTGGACACCATGCTTCAAGATCAAAATCCCGGAAAAGCTCAGGTAATTACTACTTTACCCCAACCTCACCTCACCATATAAAACTAATTCTGTCTGAATAGGCCCAAAGCAGAGCCTGTAATTTGAGGTAGCAGAACAAGACCCTTCATCCCAGAATGCATCTAGCTGAGGTACAGTGGAGAAAGAATTATTGGGATAGCTGTTCAAGAGTGGCAGGGCCTCTCAAATGACTGTGATTCAGTCTGGATAGAGTGTGAGATGAGCGTGTGTGTGTGTGAGAGTGTGTGTGTGTGTGTGTGTGAGAGAGAGTTACAACAAGGTTCAATTTGCATTAGTTAATGCTTTGTGTTTTATAAACTAACAATGAACGGCATGTTTGCAGCATTTATTCATTAATGTAATGTATATTTATAATATACTTTTGTTTATTCATGTTCTTTCATAATACATAAACTATTGTCAATTTATTTCTTGACGTTAAAAATGTATTAGCTCACTGTATGTAGAAATTTACACTAGCCTAAATTAATAAATCCAGTAAAAGCATTGTTCATCATTAGTTCATGATATCTAATGGATTAACTAATCTTAACAAATTGAACCCAAACAATTAGTGGAACACTGAGGTCTTCTAGTAGGTTTAAAAAAATGTCAGCAAGTTGTACAGTAATTGTGCAATAAATAAACAAATAAATAAATAAAATTGAAATAAAAAAGTTGTAACTGTGCAAAAACTAAAAAATAAAATAGAATAGAATCAAAAATATAAATAAAATTAAATCAATCTATCTATCTCAATGGAACACAATTAGTGGAACATTGAGGTCTTCAAGCAGGTTAGAAAAAAGTTCAGTTATAACTGTACAATAACAAAAAGAAAGAAAGAAACAAACAAACAAACAAAGAAACTATGAAAATCAGTAAACACTGAGGTCTTTAATCAGGTTAGAAAAAAGTTGTAACTGTGCAAATAAATAATAATAATAATAATAATAGAAGAAAAGAAAAGAAAACAACAATAAATAAAAAACAAACAAACAAACATAATTTTATATCAGATTGGAAAATGCACTTTTCATGGACAAAATATTTAATTTCTTATGAATACCTATGATCTCAATAATTCAAGATCATACCTAGATTCTGTTTGTGATCAAAGTGCAGC